ATGGCAAAAAGTTTTTGATCAGCAATATTAGTGAGTATTGAATTTTTTACACTGATCTACCTTAAGCTGGTTTCATTGCCTTAATTTATCAAACAAATCGTCCTCAAATCTTTTGTTTGTTTAATTTTCACGAAAATAAATTTAGTTCAATTCTTTTTTGTTTCTTCATGAACATATGTAAAGATATAAAAACTTTTCTAAAATAGGTAGGAAAGTTGTGTGAGTGGACACACCAGATGTTTTTCATGAAAATCGGATAATGGTTAGATCGCAGTCTGCTTTTCCGGTTGCTGCGAGGGGGAAATTTGGAAGAAAAAAAATTCATGCTTTGCGTTTTTTTTATTTTGAAGGTGCTATTGATCACGAATTTGTTCCTGATGGACGTTCTATGAATTCTATACTGCTAACGAGTGGAAAGGTTGTACGCGAAGTTGTCAGAGCGTTATCCTGCTTTGATCGAGCGAAAACGAATGTTATTTCAACAAGATAATGCTGGTCCTCACACTTCCCGTCGAAACGAAGAACTTCATGGGCTCGAACTCCTACCTCATCCTTCAAATAGTCCAGATGTTTTTTTGTTTTTGTTTTTGGATCATGGTGTTTAAGACACTGTGTAATTGTACTTGTGTGAAAGAAGTGAAATATAGAAATATTTTATGGATATATTTATAACCTTAAATATATTTACTGTTGTTAATAACTCTTCTCTAGATCTGATATTATATTTAAATAATTAGGTATCTATCGTCCGTTTATTCCTAAAAATCATCATCTAACCTTTTAGAAAATTAAATTAGTGAATAATTTGATGAATTTTCTCTTTGTGATATTCCAACAATTTCCACTTACAATTAGTGTGACAAATTTTCTCCTGTCTATGACAGACAATGCAAATCTCTTAATTTCGTTTTAGTAAACTTTGTGATGAAAAATAACAGTTTAATAACTATTTGTCCTATAATCCATAATCAATGGATCGGAAAATCCATAATCAACCGGTGACATAATAAATAGGACTTTTGTTATTTTAATGGTATTTATGATATGTTAGCTGTAAGCATTTAGTTTTAGCTCGGTTAAAAATGCTATTCAAAAATTTTATAATAGCCCAACATGGCCAGAAAATAATTTATATTCAAAGTTGGGCGCTTAGTGAAAGTTATGTTTTGCGCGCACCAGATTTTTTTAAATTTAAACTGATTGCATTATTTAATAGAACAAGAAATATTCTATGAATCCAATATCTTACCGAATATTGATGTTGATGACAGATGTCTGCCTTTGATGAGGTCACTCATTTGTCGACTGAACATGTGGATATTTGTGAATAATCCCTAACTAACCTTCTTACAATATCAAACAGTTATGTTTTATTTACAATAACCTGAGTTTATTTGGTGGTCTATCTATGTCTCAAGATTGGCGCAAGACTATTTACATAATTTCGAATATAATTAACTGTATCCTTTGAAAATTCACCTTAACTATAGCTTCGCAATAATTTGTCGGATCGTTCTTGCACTCTGCAATGTTCAACAAGTATAATGGAATGATTTATTGAACAGAATTGGAATGGGGAGAAATGTAATGAATAATTCGAATCTGTTTTAAAACATGTGTTTTCAGAAATGGACTTGTGATACCTGAAGTTCTCCTACGACTTTGTTCTTTGGCTTTACACATTAACACGAATCTTTTGATCGTAATCGATTTTTTTTTTGTTAAAGTGGACAATGTTTTTGTCTACATAGTGAAAGAATTACCAGAATGTAACAGGTGTTGATGACGGAGGAACATGAGAACTTGATCTCGGTACCACCCGACGGAGGATGGGGATGGGTCATAGTCCTGGTTTCCTGCTACTCTATGTTCATCGCCGACGTCCCAGCTTTAGGATTTCAGGTTATCGAAGACGAACTCATGGAGCTTCTCGGTTTAACAGCTGCAGAGGTCAGCATCTTCTTTTCCACCTACATTGCATTTATGTTTTTGATGGGTGAGTTTTCGTATATATTTATTATTTTTAATATTATAAAAAATATTGTTCTGCCATGGTATGTAACTCAATAATTATTTTATTGGGTTGGCAAATAAGTCCATTCGGTTTTTCTATTTTTTTTTATGTCACTACCATAAGCTTCCTATCTGGCGAATAAAACCCTAAGGATGATCACATAGTGGATCGACGAATACAAACACATACATTTTAACAGAACACCGCACAGTGAGGATAAGAGCAACGCGACTATGAGCCCTGCTAAAACGTATAAAAGTGAACACATCGTGGAGCGATGACACTAGCGCGACGAACGCAAACACGTGCATTTCAATAAGTTAACTTATCCGAGACAGTTAAGACTTTATAAATTATACTTTTATTTATAATTTCTGTTACAAAAGGCATCTTATCAGAAAGAGTAATACTACAAATAAATGGGTTGACTACAAGAGTTCACTCCAGGTCCCCTGGCATGAGTGTCACTTCAAGAACTGCATGAGCAAGTTGTTCTGAGAAATATAGGGTTAGTATATCCAGAAATAGTTGAGGGGTGAAGGAATTCTGGGAGGTCTAAGGATCCGTTAGAAAGGGCCTTTTGCTGAAATCTGTTATTGTTCTCTAAGTCTTGATGATGGGTCTTGTTGTGTCCAGTCAGTGCCTTTTAGATAATTACTTCTAAGCTATCAGAGATAGCTTGCTCTGGCTATCTAGGGATAGCTTTGTCCTTTTATACTTGGAGTTATGAGAATTATCAATACAATACATGATTCACCAATTGGCGTATTTAACAAACTCAATTATTAAAATAAAACTTAAATCAATATGATTATTATTTGTTACGGATTAAATCCGTTCCATAACTAATAGAGCTTCACATAGTGGGGATAAGAGCGAAGAAATCAAACATGATTGATTACGTTGCCATACTCGCTGCTGTTTTTTTTTTTCTTCTCCAAAATGGATGTTTAGCTGCTTATTACTGAAATGTTTGATTACTAATGCAAATGTTACAACTGTTGCAACGATATAAGAAAAAAAAAAAACATTACAAATTTTAATATTTAAAACTATATTATTCCTCAAACTTGTTTTTGTCGGTACTTCTTCATAAAATGAGCTCACATTTTGATATTCTTCTTCTCCTTCAGATGGAAAAAAATAGTCACATCCTCCCTAAATTTTAAAAAGAAAGGTGATAAAAAAATGAAACTCTATTTGCAAATAACTCAAAAGGTATATATTTTTTTTTTGTACCCATGATTATTTGAAAGATTACTAAATTACCTAGAAAACAAAATTATTAGCCGAGATACATTTTAATTTAATTTGTAAATATTTCGGTTAAAAACAAGAATGGAATTTCATAATAATTTTCTTTTCCTTGGTCGATTACAATTGTCAAACAAAAAAAAAAAAAATGCTGTAAATTATTTCACAATGATTTATTACTTACAAAGAATTATACATCTAAAGTAACATTACCTCCCTCGTGACAAAGAAAAAGAAATAAAAGATGATTCAATACAATATCGACAGAAAAGTGAATACTCAGTATTCAACGGAAATACATGTTTTGAGGTCCTCTGAGTTCAAATAATCAAGTGTCGCAAAATGGTCTGTGTGTGTGTGTTAACAGTCTACCTCATAAACGAAAAATAGTACGAAACTGATATTGAATATTTAAGTATGGGCCGGATGTGACAGCAACTTTTTTGTTAAAATCGGCTAACCGGAAGTGCCACTTTATATGAACGCTGAAACACATTTTTACAATTTTCTCAAAAACGACTCTAACGATTTTGATCAAACTCGGTGTATCATTGTATAATTAAGTGGTCTTTAATATCATTTAGGTCTTATCCCGGTTGATGTCACTTTACAGGGCTTAAATGCCCAATGTTCATATATGTCTTCCTCTAAAGTACCTTTAATATGGTTTATTTTAAAAAGTTAACCATTTCGCATTATTCACAGTTACGAAAAAATGCTACATATAACTTTTGAAAGAATTCGATAAATTAATAAAGGAGAAAAAAATAAAAATGCAGAAAAACCTGCGTTCCTACAGACTGTAGCGCCTAAACGAATGTACTGATTTCAATGAAACTTCGCTAAAGTCATTTTCTCGACACCCTTTAAATTTATCTATGTAACATACTTCAACGAAAAGAAGCTGGAAAAAAAGTTACGAGGGATGGTAAAATTTATACTCAAAATGTATACACTTTTTTGTTGATATTGTATATGGTTTTTTAAAAGTTTATGGAATACCCTAAAAAAAAAAAAAAAAAAATCGCTAAAATCGGACAATTAGGGAAAGATATGGTCTTTAGTTATTTTCCCTGAAGAGGTGAAAATTTGGATACATTTAAAATATATTTTTTTAATTGTTGAGACTAAAAAAAAACCTTTTTTCTACAGATATTTAATAAAGTGTCTTTCCTAAGAACATCTTTCATAAGAAAGTAGTACCTAAATTTATACTTTTATTCTCAGTTCTATATTTCAACACTGCAATCACCACTTCTGGAATCAACTTACTCATTGTCTGCATAGATAACTTTTTCAACTAAAAATATCACTAAAACGACATCACTCAAAAATGTTGAAATTGGAGTTAGTCATTCTGTGGTTTATAAAATCAGATATAGTAAATTGATTTTTATTGCCTGTCTTTCATATATTGAATAGACATTTTGTAATTATAATGGTCTTAATGACTTGTTATCTATAAGCTTTAAGCTTTAGCTCCCTTTAAAATGCACTTCAAAAAATTTTATAATAGCCCAGCATTGCCAGAAAATAATTTCTATTCAAAGTAGATCGGTAAGTGAAAGTTGTGTATTGCGCTCACCAGATTTTTTAAAATTAAAAACGAGTGGAAAATAGAACCTCAGTGGTGGAGCTCTTCTGCTCACGCTTTTATTTTATTTATTTATTTATTTTATTTTTTCTTATGGAATGACAAAATCATTTTATTTTTTTGGAAAAATTGTTGCAGGTCCTATTGCTGGTGGCGTATGTAACCGCTTCGGTTTCAGGATGACCAATATGCTTGGATGCTTCTTAATGATCTTGGGCCTTGTTTCTTCCTACTTCATCTCTGATTATTTTTCATTTTTATTGTTTTACGGAATTACGTGTGGTAATTATTATGAATTTATTATTAACGATTTTTTAATATCCTTATCTCCTTTTTTAATTTTGACAATTGCTTTCTCTTATTCGATAAACATTTTTTTAGATAGAAACATTATTGATTCTGAAATTTTGCGTTCATTACTTTAGAATTATTGTTATTGTGGTCCTACTGTTCAAGAGGGAAGAAAATAAAAGAACTGCAGTTCATAAAAAAATAATTTTATAAATTATACATTAATCCTAACACATAAAACGTATTCAAGTGTTATTTTTACTTCCATATTATATGTATTCGTGATCAGAAGTATAAAATCACGATTCGTCAATCTCCATTTAAAAGAATAAGATAGGGCCGGATGGGCTAACATATGTGTGCACAGCACTGCGAGTTGCTCGACAACCAGATAACCAAGTTTTGAGATTAAGAAAAGTACGAGTTCGCTTCCCGTTGCCAGAGGGGATTTTAAATTCCCCGCCCTCACCCTCCGACCCTGGTAAATCCCGTATAGCCTAAAAGGGGAGCTAAGGAAGAACAGAAAAAATAAATAAATAAGATTTGAGTCCATTGAAGCTCTGAAAGGGAAAATGGCACGCTTCCTGAAGGAGCTGACAGAAGAAGACTGTTTCAAGCAATGTAAGATTAGAATGGAACATTTTAGAGATAGACCAGCCTTTCTCTATATTGAAGATAATATAATAAGAAAATATGTATGAAATCAAAATAAAATGTTTTAAAACACCAGTCTTGTTACATAATAGCAGGGTGCGGTTTGGCTGAGCGGTCTAATGCATGCAAACAAAATCACATTGACCGGCAATCTGATGGAAGATAATATGACAAAATAACTAGGAGTTTGCGTTCTGGTAACGGAGAGACTTTCAACTCTGGTATTAATCCTCTGTCTTCACCTCCTAAAGGTGAGTAAGACCAGGACAAAAAACATTATTTAACCTTGCAGTGGGCGTACCTTTATTTGTAACACTCCTAGACGCGCGGAGCATGGAGTGCACTATGCCTTTTTTGTTGTCATTAATGTTTTATTTTTCTGTTATTTAAATTCTAAATGTACTATTTTGTAAATTAATATGTACTTATACAATTTATAATATTACTTATTTATATAAAATGATCGTAACTTATTTTGTAATTGGTAATGGGTTGACTGCCGTGGATAATGAAGAGAAGAATAGTTGGGGCGGTCAGTCAAAAAGGAAGGCAAAAAAAAATAAATGATAATATTTATTTTTACATATGCCGACGTTTCGACCTGAAGTTCAGGCCTTCATCAGGGCTAAGAAAATAACCAGATAACAAGGTATGAGAAACATAAGTAATGATGGTAAAAAAGATAATAAATAAATAAAAATTAAAAAATAAATAAAAATAATAAAATAAATGTAGAATATATAAGAATAAGAATGAATTATGACCGTACTGTGCAATGCATATCCACACATTGTAACGGTTATTATTATTATTTATCTCTTAGTTCTTAGTCATTATTCTAACAATTTCATTTTACTTTATATTTATTTATTTTATTTTTTTATTATTTTATTTATTTTAATTTTATTTATTTATTTATTTATTTATTTTTTACCATCACTACTTATGTTTCTCATACCTTGTTATCTGGTTATTTTCTTAGCCCTGATGAAGGCCTGAACTTCAGGTCGAAACGTCGGCATATGAAAAAATAAATATTATCATTTATTTTTGCCTTCCTTTTTGACTGATCACCCCAACTATTCTTCTCTTCGTAACTTATTTTGAATTTTCTGTTGTTTTTAACTTAATTTTATGATAGGTAAACAAATATGTTTATATTTTTATACCCAATATAAGGTCAGGACATATCAAATAAAATAAGTAAATGTGAAAATATTTTATGAACTTTAATTTAATACGTTACATCTGATGACAAAAAAACAAAAATTAAGTTGCTAACTGCTTGTGGTAATGGTTGAAGTGCGACAAACAGAATCCGGGCATATTCAGAGATGGGCAAATGCTATTCTGAGTATCAAGTATTTTACTCAAATACTGACCTTTTTTGAGTACCAAAGAATTTAATTACTACTTCATTTGATGTCAAACGATTAACTGAAGTAGTGATTGAATTCCCAATAGTGATTCAATTTGAGTAAAATACTTGGCACTCGGTAATCAGAGTAGCATTTCTCCTTCTGTGCTTTCCTTGTTTTCTTATTTGCCTCCTAACTTCCCAGTGTAATTCTCATTCCCTGTAGCATTCCAATACTTACGCTGTTTTCTTCCCTCCTCTGAAGGCTTAATAAAAGAATAGACACGACACATCCGACATGGTGAAGGTTCTGATGATCCAAGAATTGACCACCGACGTTCCAAACATTATCTCATTCATCATGCATGTGCACTGTCCTGTCATGGCAGAAATATGTATTGGACGCCGATGGGAGGGGGAAGGGAGGTACCTTAGGGAAATCATATTTTATCAGTCTGGCGATACAGTTATCTGTTCCGGGCGTCCTACAGCTTTATATCAGATATAATAATTATTTTGCTTTTGTATCTTTACATCTTTCCAGCTCCCATTCAAATATATTAGATCGGCAAAATTCGAAACAATCCCGGGCGCTTAGCAGTCAAGACGAATATTGAAACCTGAGCACCGTAACCGCAGTTTACGTGCTAGAAAGCTAATAGTGTCTTGAAGCCAAGCGTTTTATGGTATACGCCCGCCATTGCTTTGAAAACTAAAAAAAAAAATAAACGTGGGACCACCTAAAAGTATATTTTAGTAAAAGAAAATACATTAAGTTAAAGCAAAGGATGTGTATATATGGTAGTTTTAAGGCACTTTGTTCATTTTCAATTTTTTAACAGAGCATCATTTGAAGCTCTCACAGACTATTCAACCATTACCTCATGTATTTAACTTCCTGTTGTAGAAAGTATAAGTTAATAAATTAATTTATTAGCGATTTTTCGCTCAACATGAATGCTATTGCTTATAAATAAATTCAGTATTTTGTAGGCTGCGGAACTTCTTTTATTCTAATGGTGGCCAATGTTGCAACTGGCTTCTGGTTTGATAGCAAGCGAACAATCGCGTTTGGATTAGTCAGCGCATCAGGCGGCATCAGCGTCTTCTCAGTGCCTTTGTCCAATTATTTGGCTGATGAATATGGCTGGAGGCATTGCTTCTCCATTTGGGCAGGTAATGATATTTGTGCATATTAATCAAAATGCGTGAATAAAGAAGTCGGAAATCAAGAAATTGTATGGCTTAAGATAAGGAATTTGATAGCAAATTTCAACTAGATTTTATGTTACTTATGTACATAGGCGCAGACTTCAAGAATATCGTAGAATCAGAGAGCAAGAATATCGTTTCATCCCCACCTCAATATTTTGAAAAAAAAAACCTAAATCAATAATAATTAATCTACATGAATGGATAAAATACGCGATATAAAATCAATTAAGATAATAAGAAAAGTCGATTATATGGCTACAAGTAGGTTCCCAAGTAGTTTACTACAGCCTGTTTCTATCAGGGGTGGATCTACAGAGAAGGGGAGGGAAGAAAGTGAGGGAGAACAAAATGGTAAAATAATAGCCAAGTCTTAAAAAAAAAAATATTAAAAAAAAATCTGTAAATATGTTATTGTTTGTGTAATTACATTTAATATGACTTCAAGAATCATTTAAACAACATTTCACATAGATAGTTAGTTCCATTATTTTTCTTCCAAAGTAATTATGTTTATTGCTTATTAATATAAACCAAATTAAAGAACTTTAATCTTAACTTCCTTTAAAAAAAGAAATTTTGAATATTGGGCATTTAGCCCTGTTTGGAATAAAACCTAAATGGGATAAGACTACTTAATTATACATTGATTCAGGCAGGTTAATCGTTAGAGACGTTTTTATGAAAATTGTTAAAATATTTAAAAACTATGTTAAAAATTGGCACCTCCGGTTAGCCGACTTTGGGGAAAACGTTGCTGTAACATCTCAGGCCTGTACTTTTTTCAGCCCTGTACTTAAATATGTATTTTCAGTTTCGGAAGATTTTTTGTTTTTGAGCTAGATTGCTCACAAACACATTGGGCCGAATATTCTTCTTAGGACAAGACGTTCAAATCGAAGGAGAGCTGTTTCTTGGGCTCTTGACATTGTCCAGCACTCAGACCCATGTGTTAGTACTGGTCTTATCAGGATTTTGTACAGGAGCAGCTTGGTTTTACGAGAGATCCCTCTACTTTTGAGATGTCCCTGGAGACCAAAATAAGCTCTATTTGTGGTCATGGTGCACCTCTGTATTTCAGAATTCATGTCGTTATTTACATTCACTTGAGAGCCAAGTCATATAAATTCTGAGACATCTTCAAAAGTCATCCCTCCGATTTCTACATTTGCCTCTCTGTGGCCTCCATCCTTTGGGTCGGCCCGCATAAACTTTGTTTTCTTCTCATTGACCTTTAAGCCAATTCTCGCTGCTGCTCCTTGTAGCGTTAAGAAAGCATCTTTTATAGCCATCCGTGTTCTTCCAACCAATGCAGTATCATCGGCAAACCCCAGTTATTACACTGAATAATTAAAGACCGTTTCTCCAATCTGAATTTGGGATCTTCTAATGGCACATTCGAGGGCAATGTTAAATAGGAGACACGCTAAGCAATCTCCTTGGTGTAGTCCTTTCTGCATTTCAAAGTAGTCCGACATATCGCCTTGGATTTTGACAATACATTGCACCTTCTTCATTGTCACTTGTATCAGTCGCATAAGTTTAGGTGGGACACCCAGGCCCAACATATCGTGGTAGAGCTCATCTCTTAGGATGCTATCATAAGTTCTCTCTCAAAGTCTACGAAGAGGTAGTGTGTGCATATATTATGTTATACTCTCTTGCTCTCTCTAGGATTGTTCTAATAGCAAATATTTGATCGACCATAGATCTTCCTCGCATAAATCCAGCCTGGTATATTCCAATTTCTCTCTCAGCAAAAGGAAGTAACTTCTGAAAGAGGATTCTTGAGTGAATTTTATACGCACATGATACCAGAGATATTCCATGATATTTTTGACAGTCCAAGATATAACCTTTCTTATGGATCAGGCAGATGATTGTCTTGAACCAATCATCTGGCAATACTTCTTCTGCCCATATTTCCGTGATAAGATTATAAATCTATCTCTTCCAGTTGTTTCCTTTCCCAGGTCCTTTTTTTCCTCTGAAAGAGTCTTTTCTCTTCTCTTCTTCGGGCTCGGCATTCTTCTACAGAAGTTCTTGTGTGTTTTCGCTGGACCATCTGCCGATAAGCTTTATTCTTAATAATTGTGATCCTCTGATACTCCTCATCGTACCATCCTACTTTTCGCGTAACTTCTTGGTATCCATTTGTTTCATTTGGGACTTCCACTATTGCCTCCCTGCAACTATTCCATTGTTGATTTAAGTCTCCGGATTCACTTAGGTTTCTTATCTTATGATTCATATGCCTAGAGAAGCTTTCTCTCTTCTCATAGTCTTTGAACACTTCCACGTTAAACCTGGCTTGTTGCGATCTTCGCTGGACTCGCACCATTGAAATTTGCGCTCTGATCCGGGTGATTGTGAGGTAGTGATCAGAGTCGATGTTTGCCCCTCTGTAAGCTCTGATATCCTGTAGACTTGAAATGTGTCTAGAGGTTCTAATAAATGGTCTATCTGGTCGCACGTGACACCGTCATTAGACCGCCAAGTTGCTAGATGAATCCTTTTATGGGGAAACCTCATGCTTCCCACCACTAAATCTTTTGAGGCTGCAAAGTTTATGTTTCTCTGACCATTTTCATTTGTGACATTATGAATGCCTTGTAGACCTGTTGTGGGTCTGTATTGAGCTTCTTTTACTATTTGCGCATTGAAATCCCCAATCACAATCTTTACATTAACTCTCAGACAACCATCAATGCATCTTTATATATTAATTATAGAATTTACCTCTCATTCGGAGATAGCATATTCGGGTAGAAAAAGCATTAAATCCAACGAGTTGAGCCTGCTTCTTATTGATGACGAATAAGATCTATAGGTATGCAGATGGTCATGATAGCTGTAATAGATAGCATGATTTTTTTAATTAAATTTCTTGTTAAATACTTTATTAGAAAATAAAATGTATATCTATAGATAGTAAAAAAAAAAAAAAAAATTACACAAAATGTTACCCTTTTGCCTTGATACAAGCATTTAATCTCTGTGGCCAGTCATCAATAGCAGCATGCAGCACTTCTTGAGGAAAGCGCTTAACTGCTCGGACCAGAGATTGTTTGAGGCTTTTCAAATTATGGTGTGCTCTGTGGCATGCCATTCTCTCCGGTTCGGATCAAAGCTGATAATCTAGTAAATTGAGATCAGGGCTTCCTGAGGGCCAATCCGAGGTAGAGATGAACTCTGGAATATTCTTTTGCAGCCACTGCTGAGTTGATCTGGTCTTGTGAGCTGGAGCGGAATCCTGCTGGAAAACCCAATGACTTCCAGCAGAGTATCATTTATTGGCTTGACAACAGGTTCCAAAATATCGTCGTAGTAGTTTTTAGTGGCTGTTTTAACTCATTTTTTAGCTTTGTGGTGTCATCAAAACAAACTCCCCACCAAACCATCACTGAGGAAGGGTTATAACCTCTTTCCACTCTTTCAATGACTTCCTGGGCTTCTTTACAGCAGTGTGCGTACACATGATCATTTTGGTGATAACATTTTTCTTCAATTGTAAAAATGTTCTCCATGCTTAACAAAATCTTTCGATGAAGACCATTGGTGTAACAGCCAAGGAGCACATTGCATCTATCCACTCTAATTTTTTTTAGGGAATTGATTAGCCTTTCCTGTCATTCTTCGAAATACATCCATCCCAAGGTCACTTTTTATTATGTGAGACATTGATCTGACAGAGATTCTCATTTCCCGAGACATGATTTGTTGTTTTCAAATGGGATTTCTTATGATTTGAGCAGCCACTCCTATCACTGTATTTGCAATTCTCACAGTGCAGGGACCTCTGTCGAGGTCTGTCATGTACAGATAGATGTATTATATCTATTTATAGTGCATTACACGAACATTTCAGGTTCAACCAAGGTTCAATCACGAACAAAGGTTTCAAAGTGTTGAAAATCTCTGATCTACATTTTCCAACTTTGTATGAGGCGATCATTGCTATTCAGTTTTCTTTATCACCCCACTCCATGTTAAGTGAGCGAAAGAAAAATACAAACTAATTGGGATTATTATCCTGACATGTAAAGAAAATAATCTGATAGAGGTAAGGATTATCTTTAGATATTATTTATTAGGGATTATTTATAATACCCAAGGATGTAAACAAAGTTCAACTTTTTTAACAGTATTTACTGCAGAACTAGGTATATTATTTGAATAATTCTCTAAGATGCTTTACTGAATCATATTAATCTGGTATATTACAATGATTATAGGTTTAGTTGTCATATTACTATTGGGATCTTTCCTATTGGCGCCACCTCCTATGATAGAGCTTGAATCAAATAAACCTTTGGTTGGACCAGCTAATACAGTGGATATTAAAAGAGTCACAATCATGTAAGTAAATTATAAACTTTATGGATTTTATTTGCAACAGTTAGAAATCACTTCTTATTTTCATAATGACCATTCTTATTGTCTTGATTATATTATAATAGAATAAAAGATTGATAGATTATCAAAACTCCTATTTATTTTAAAATATGACTACGTTTCGGCTAACTGGAGCCATTGTAAGGTCTGTAAACGGTTAATTTACTAAAACCAAAACATCACTCAAACAAACACATTTTGAAAGAAAGAAAGTAAATTTTATTCTGGGGCATTTAATTCCCTCAGAATAGCTATAATGAACAAAGAAATGACAATTGTCTGGTGATTATGATTAAATAAATGGCAATTAAAAATGAATTAATTTACAAAGTTGTCTAACCTTAATAATAAAATAAAGAATAGACACTGTAGTAAATAAATGATCTTAAAGTAGATATATGAATTTAAAAATGAATACATACGAGTGTGTTTACATATTTTTAAAAATAAGCAATATGGCACACACATAGATATCTGCAAGATATCGGTATAATGTTGCTGACATCTCATTACAAATTAATTTTATTTTTACATAGATTCGGAAGAAGATTTCTTACAGAAGTGTGGAAACGTATGGGTTTCCCATTGAGCTAGAGTAGAGGATAATAAGAAATAAGGTTAATCAGATGCTTGGATCCAATGAGAATGGATTTGGTCTTCTCAACATTCAATTTTAAATCATTTTTTGCTGTCCAGGTGTTAATACTGTCGATATCTTCTTTTAGCCTTCGGATCGCTTCAAGCATCTTGGTAGGATGACAGGAAAGGTAGATTTGGAGATCGTCCGTATATAAATGGTGTGAGTAATGGATGGAATCAAGAAGGTCATTAATATAGATGGGGAAAAGAGTTGGAGTGATCAAAGATCCCTGAGGAACAAAACGAGTTAGTAAGAGGGGGATGAAAAGAGTTTTATTGGGAACGATGACTGTTTATAATCTTTGATACAAAAAGAATGGACACACAGTAATTGTGCCTCTTCCAAAGGGTTAAACAAGCAAGATCAGGGAAGGATTGTATCGCTCGCTATACATTGCGAGTGTAAACAATCAACAGAGTTCAAATTAAAAAAGTATGTATTCTCCACAATATTATGGACAGTTAAAACCTAGTCCGCACTAGTAGACATGTTGCGCGATATTGGACTCTGAGACATGCTCAGTTTGTCTACATAGACGTGTCTATAGACCAATCCCCATCTACAGGCCTGTTGCGAGAACAAAAATCGAAGGTCTAAAGTCTCCTCATCGAAATGGGAGACATTATGCAACGTTAGACATGTTGCAGAACATTTTTGCAGTATGGATGTCATACATTTCTCTGTTCATCCAAACTTTCCTTGTACCTCTTCCTTACATCTTATATTTTAAACCTTTCTGAAGCATATATCCATCTCTTTTTGTCTTTTTGCTGAGCTGGCTATACTTGGCCAAAACAGATAAAGGTCACTGTTCTTACATGCTCCTCTGTAGCTTCATACATCTATGTAAATAACTAGTTAAAAGTTAATTGTAAATAATTAGTTTTGGCGGGAATAGGCGAATAGCCTTCCGCTTTTATTGGGGAACTAGATTATTTACACTCGTGATTATTTTAACAAAACCCCGGCACTGGATCTAGACTTTTTGAGGGTGTTTAACTGTCGTTGGGAATTCGGGAATCTAATACCTTTTGTGACACTGAGTGAGAAGAAACTATAGGAATATATATATATAATGTGGGACTTAGTAAATACACTTTGAATGAATTGACTCACCTGGTTTGTTATTCTTCAGTTGTGAGGCATATAGGACAACTAAATAAAATGACTTTTCACTTCTGTATAATAAAACAATTTATTTTGACAACTATAATAAATTAATGTATAAGTCTTATAACTGTAGGCTTGATATTCTTAGTCTTCAATGTAGTAGGCCTCTCTTCACAGCTGCTGCTACCTGACCAGACGTTTTTCCTTCTTCATCGATTGTTTATCGATATGAGATTTATCAGTGAACAATTTGTCCACTGCACAATTGAGTATGATTCACAATGCAACCTCACATTCCTATATATTCCTTCTCATTCCCTCACACAATGTCACATAAAGGAGTAAATACCGGGGGATCTCTACTACATCTAAGGTGTGTGACACATGTCACAAGGACAATTGTCACAAGGAACATAACAATATGCAATTTATAGGGATGTGGGGGGGGGGGGTGCACGGTAAGGAGGTCTGGCCCACGGACTATTAGTTCTTTAAGACATTTACAGATTATTGATCATATTACAGATATTTTCAAATAAAAATTATTTTTAAACTCAGTTCTTGTTGCTATTGTTAAAAAACTACATCTCATACTAAGGCCCTGGCTGGATTAAGTTCACTGACTGTTTTACGTAGATTTAAAATTGTTAATTCTAAAGACTCATAAATAAAAATATTTATGTTGCTCTTATAGCTACAAAGAAGTTGTATTTTGATTTTAAAAATTCAATACAATTATACAGAATGTTATGATGGTTGTTATAGAATTCCTCTGGAATATGAAAAGCCTAAAGTGCAAAGAATGACTGCAAAAAAAATACATAAAATGTCAATGACAACGGGGATCCCGATGGGTAGGGTGTCAAGAGCATCTGTAAGACCGGCCCGAGAACCCATCGGTTTGGGCAAGATCTTCAGGTGCTGCTTGTGCTGTAACTGCTGTACCCAGTCCGTCGGCTCAAGACCGCTCTATCGCAAGGACATCTTTTACGAAGGGAGCATCTGCTATGCTGCCAAAAAGGAAAATCAAGTAAGAACCTATTACCTTTTCCAAGCAAAAATGATTTTTATCTTCTGTAGCTTTTTAATAGTTGAAAATAAATTAGTGTTTACTATGATATTTTTGCTTAATATTTCATTTTATAAATTTAAGTTCAGCCGGAACGTTTCCCAAACGACCAGAAATATTAATGAAATGTGGGGTGATGCCTAAGTGGGTGCACTATTCAATGATGTCTTAAACATTTCGAGAGAGAGATTTCTTCAACTTTCATGCATCAAACTATCGTAAAAAATCTTTGTTATGAGGTTTTTGCTGCTCTTTTTTTTTTTTTCTGAAACATATAAGAACCTCACCTGCCCTGCTATCCAGACCTTTCTTCTATTGACTACCATTTTTGTTTTTGAACCCTTGGCACCTTAATTTAAGGGTAAAAATTTTATTGATTGAAATTCCTTAATGAATGCATTTTCAAAATTTGTCAATGATATCAAGTCAACTATCTATTCAGAGGGAATGGATAAGCATTCAACACGATGGCAGAAATATCTTGAGAGTAATGGAGCATACTTCGATAAAAGTAGTTCCATATTAGCCCAGTAAACTTTTCGTGAAAAGGGGTATTTAAGTTGCATCAAATGGGGGTACAAGGTTTCTTTTTTTTCTTGTATGGGATGTGACTGAGATGTAAAATCCAAGTTTTCGAACTTGGCGCTCCCCTTTCTTCCCACCTCCCCCGATCACTTTTGAATATCCTCAAAACTGCTATATTTTCACAATTTTTTCAGTTTTCTCCATTTTGACCATGAAGAAGCACATTTTCTAAAAAAAATATTATATACATTTTTCAACAAGATTAAATATGCTAGAATTTAAGACCAAAACTGTCTGGGTGAATTCAATAGTTTTTGAGATCCAGGTTTTCAAATGTTTGGAAATTTTTTGAAATTGAAAATTTTAAGCTATTTTTGATGTGTGATCATAGCAATTGTCTTTATATCTTCAATAACCTGTCTTATATGATTCATGTTGAAGTTTCATCGCACAAGTTGCGCCTTCAAAATTTTTGAGGGGGCACATTTTTACTGCATTTTGAATTTTTGAGGAGAGCACATTTCAGCAGGATTACGATTTTTCAGATAGAAAAAGTTTTAATCCAGGAAACAAGGGAAAAAACATGGACCAGACAACCCCAAGTGTATTTGTATATTATCTACGGTTTTCTAATTATACTTTTGCTTCTACTGTTTTTAAAAAGAAAGGAGCAAAAACATTTCTTGGGAGGGAGAGAGAGGTTCATGCGCCATCGACCTTTGAGGGGATGGGCACCCCTGTGTGGAAGTTATCATTCCTCCTATGCACACCATCATACTGTTCAAAAGATGACTGCCTAAGATATGACAAATGAAAAGGACCTAATGAGTCTTTCACAAAGTGTTTTTATAAGAAAGACGGAAGGTCAAAATCTGTTAGTGATAGCGGTAGTCTATTATCAAATTAAGAGCTCTTAAAGAATTGAGGTGTACTTCCGTACATTATTAAATGAATTTAAATTAAGAGCTAGGAATTTAGAAACAATACGTTTTTTTTTTAATTTGAATATAATTTATTTGAATTTTGTTCACTAACTAAACAACAATTTAACTGAAAATAGGATGAAACCACCTTCCCATTGACGATGACCAAGTTGCCTACTACGAGGGATGTCGCACAAGAAGTGGAGTGCCATTGTGCATTACCTGAAGCAGTTAGCAGGGCTTTGAAAGAAATGTTAGACTTCTCCTTGTTCAAATCTCCAATATTTTTCCTAATATTATTATCTTCATTTGTCGTGTATATTGTCAGATACATACCATTACTGGTACTCAAAAGTAGGTAAACTTTACTAAATATAAGTTAAATTACTATTATAAATATATTATATTTAATAAATTGTAAATAGTTTACTTGCTTGCTTCACAATGTCTGTGCTTACATTATTTGGCAACCTTTATGCCTGCAGTAAAAAAATTTTCTTCTTGATATGATTGTAAACTGATATTTTTATTGATACTGTTTCTTTGTTTTTTCATTCTTAAAAGTTGTTTATTTACTTTGGTTACTTATAAAATATTTTAATAAGAAATATAGGTTCATGTTTATTTAAAAATAAAAAGATTTGTCTCTAAAGTACGGTCTGTTAGTACGTCCAATTCAGCCCGCGAAGATTTCTTTGATTATATGGTAAAATTTAAACTATTTACATAATATGAATTGAATAAATTTATACAAGGTTACTACTATTTTTATTATTTTCTATTTTGGAAAGTTCATTTCCCACTACACAATTACAACTGAAATGTCATTTAAAGAAATGAAAACGTATATATTATTTATGTTATCAAACATGAGATATTTTATACGAATTATGTTTACAAACTCGCCTCAATGTTTCGGGTCAACGCATTGTGCCTGTCCAGTGAAACAGAAATCTCAGCATTAAACAAGCAACACCGCTCACAATATCTACATGATCAGTGGAGAACTTTCAAAAACCTCAGCTTTATAATTTATTTTTCTTAAATTTTGTTGTTCTCACTCGAACACAAAATTTAAAAGTTAAACGATAGGGATATGGTTCCTGTATTTATAACATAAGATATATTTCCTGTATAAGCCCCCTGTATTTACTCCTTTATGTGACATTGTGTGAGGGAATGAGAAGGAATATATAGGAATGTGAGGTTGCACTGTGAATTGTGCAGTGGATAAATTATTCATGGAAAAGTCTCATAACGATAAACAATCGATGAAGAAGGGCGCTGTAAAAAGGTCAGAGCAGGTAGCTAGCAACAGCTGGAGGAGGAACACTTGAGGTCGGGACACGGAGGCGAGAGGACGTTATCTGAGATGAGAGAAGCAGGACATTGAAGACCAAGGATATCAAGACGACAATTCACTTGTATAGATTCATTTATAATCGGTTAAAATAAATTGTTTTATTATACAGGAGTGAAAAGTCATTTTATTTAGTTGTCCTATAGGCCTCACAATTGAAGAATAACAAACCAGGTGAGTCAATTCATTCAAAGTGTATTTAATAAGTCCCACATTTCATATATATATATATATTCTTATTGTTTCTTCTCACACAGTGTCACAAAAGGTATTAGATTCCCGAATTCCCAACAACAGTTAAACACCCTCAAAAAGTCTATATGCAGTGCCGGGGTTTTTTATTAATAATCACGAGTGTAAATAACCTAGTTCCCCGATATATAAGCGAAAGAATATTTACTATTCCCGCCAAAACAAATTATCAACATTTAACTTTTAGCTTGTTATTTATAAGTGTGGTGATGAGGGATTTGAGCTCAGAGCTAAATAATTTAAGTAGCTTAGTGAGTCAGAGTATATGTTTGGAGGAGGAATGTTGGAAATTTCATGTTTAAGCATATAATACTCAAGAGTTCACTAAGCTGGAGGGTTGGTCTTGCATGTTCATAAGTTTGGCAGTTATAGCACTGCACTATTTTCTGTTTAGGATAGAGTTTTTTTGTTGATTACACGTATTTAGTACAGGTGGGGGATTTTGTACATTTCTTCAACACCTGAGGATCGCTCAAGGCCAACAAAAAATAGTGATAACATTTATAATTAGACCTGATATCTCATGGTGTCATTTCTTCTTTAATTAATTCTGAGGAGATTGAGGAGCGCAGACGTCTGATCACCACAATCAGCGCTCTCTTGGTGTAATTGATAAGTTTGAAAGTTTGCTTGAGCGTCCGACAAATATTTCATAATTATTTTGTAAGTTGCCTGAGTATCAGGTGTAAATTTTGTTTTGTTTGTACTGCTTTAACACTCGTATTTTTCTGCTCTCATTGCTTGATTCATAGTTTTTGGCACAACAAAAAAATTTTAATTGTTTTAATGGATATTCATAATGGCTTAACAAGTTTATGTTGCTTCCATATCTTCCACGGATATGCTTCATAGTACCAGATAAGGATTAGATCTAACTATGGATGATTCTATGGCCATTGCTTGGGTAGAAGTGCCAGGTCCAGCCTCATTTTCTTCAACTGAGCTGACAGGTGTGTAAGATGGTGTGCTTCTTTTAGATCGGTTTTCTTTTTCTTTTTATATCAGTGAAAAATGAGAAGTGTTTAAACTCCTCGAATGTTTTGTTATCCTTTAACCTGGCATCATTATAAGGAAATATCTCATGACATATTCAAAATAAATGGTGAAAATTAAGAAAAAAAAATTGAAATAAAGAATATTACGTTAAAGATTGAGTGGTTTAGATGTTACCTCCTTCAATGTCCTGAGCAACTGGTTAAATTGGTGACCACTGTGGTCTATGTCTAGTTAACGTGTTTATACCATCTAGTTCACTTAGTAAGCTAATTAACAAGAGATAACTCATTTAACTCATAGTGTATGTATACTTGCTATATACAATAGTACTATTGTTATATTTAACACATTTTTTACTGTAACATATCACTAATTTACTGTTTAAATAAAGAAACTTTAGAGAGATGACATAAGCTAGTGCTTGTGTAGAACTGAGAGATGTAAAATGTAGACTTTTTTTAGTTTGATTATATATATAAATGATCTAGAAAAAAATATATAAAGCATAATTTTTGAAATGTGGGTGAAAAAAAAAACAAACGAAATCAGAATGTTTAATTTTTTTGTAAAAAAAAAGAAAAGATTTCGGGAAAAATTTCTGTCAGTAAAATTGTGTGAACAAAATTTATTAAAGAACTTTATTCTGTTTTTCCTATATTACCTAAACTGATATAAATTATCAATATTTCATGAGAATCTTACTAATCAGCTGGATACTTTAGAGCAATTTCAAAGGAAAAATTCCACCTTTTCTCTGCCTATTCCTGCAATCATTTTTGAAGGTTGATGTGTCAGTAGCCCCGAGACTTTTTGTAAATAATTATATTACTGTTCTTAAAATAATAATTATGCAGTTATAGTGTGTAAAGAGAATAATGTAATTTTGTTTCAGAATTCAACCTTCCTTACATGGACAATGTGACTGCTAACAAGGTAATAACGATGTTTGGTCTTGGGTCCTTGATCTCCCGTGCCCTTGTTGGGTTTATTCTGTATTATTTCCACCATATTAGTCCCCTGATAGCAACAATATTCGTGACCCTCATCGGAGGAATGGCACTCTGTTGCCTGATAATCACCCATTGGGAGATCTATCAGATGGTTTTGTCTTTCGTGGCAGGTTCTTTTGTAGGTGAGTAAATGTCATATTTTGAATAATTCCTTATTAAACTTAAAGGTTAATCAAATATTATAGAGGAGCGTGTTTTGATTGTCGATTAGTCGATTCACCGTATCCATCTACATCGTATGCCATTTTGTGCTAAAATATCTTACATTATATCTTATACCGGGAAAAAAAAGAATATAAGCTACTCTGAAATTTGAGGATTTGAATTTCATAGAGAGTACATAGAATCAAAAAGCAAAATTAAATAAAAATATTTTCTGTGTTTTTGACAATGATAACTTCCAACGTCTATACTAGATAAGGAAAGTATTGTGATCGGGTCAAATTTCCGACATGCGGTTTTCGACGGATCTATATGTTTCAGAGCCCCCTGACTCCGATAAACACATTTTTAGCCATTCCTCTGTCTGTCTGTCTGTGCCAAGATTTTCTCGGAAATTAGAGAACAGATTTTGTTTCTTCTTTTTTTTGTTTGTAGGATTTTGACTATTGATGCCTGTGACACAAATTGGGTGCTCCATGCGCAATAAATGAAAAACATGTTTTTCTATAGACTGTAGTGTGAAACGATTCACAGCTCTAACAATTTTGTTGAAACTTTCCTATAATGTTCTAATAATTGTCCTTTCAATTTTTATACATGGACTGAATTTCTGAGAAAATTCAGGAAATAAAGTTATAAATAAAAGAAAAATATTTTGGGGCCTAACTCGCTAAGTATATATTCTAAGATTTAGCCAGTTTTTTTTTTAAAGGTAATGAAATTCCCAACAAAACTATATAAAAATCGTTCATTTTGGACAACTATTAACAAAGTTACAGCTACTCAATGTTCAATATAAGATTAGGGGTTCATATCCTGGTGTCAGAAAGGAGTGAATGACAGAAAAAAGATAACTAAGTGAAAGTAAGAAAATCTATTGCCCGCATCACACAAGCTTCACTATTTCCTCTACTTTTAACAGAAATAATTGTTTGACAAAATTAGGCTATGGCAAAAAGTTTTTGATCAGCAATATTAGAGGGTCTTAAAATTTTTACACTAATCTACCTTACATTGCTTTAGTTTATCAAATAAATCGTACTAAAATCTTTTCTTTGATCAATTTCAGGAAAATAAATCTAATTAAATTTCTTTTTGTTTCTTGATGAACAGATGTAAAGATATTAAATTTTTTCTGAAATAGGTAGAAAAGTCGTGTGAGTGGACACACCAGATTTTTTTATTTATAAATTTGTCACTGGGCTTGTTGGTAACATAAACAATATTATACAACTTAGAGATAGATCTCTACTGATTGAAACCTATAAAGATACCCAATCGACAATCTTAATGAAAAGTCAAAATTTTGGGGACACTATCCCATCAAAATAACCTCACGTTACACGCTTAATTATGGTAAAGTTATAATTAAAGTTTATAACTTTAAATATCTTAAATCGAAGAAATAAAAAATGAAATGGACCTAACTATAATAGATATAATTATTTATTATGTTTCAGCTGTGGTTATCTCAATAAGAAGCTTGGTTATAATTGACCTTTTAGGCCTGAACAAACTGACAAGCTGTACTGGTTTGTTATTCTTCCTTCAAGGTTTCGCATCTTTTGTAGGAATGCCAATTGCAGGTAACAATATAAAAATACGGTACTACTTCACAACATGATGGATGGGCACAAGATCACATGATCTCAATCTAAATGCAATTCTAGGAATGGCCGAGGTATCTGAAAGTAAATGACATTTCGCCAAAACTTCATATTACTAAATATATACAGAGTGGGTCGGGAGGAAAGGGCTAAATTAAAAAAATAAAACAATAAAAAAATCATATATTATCCTATTTTCATTTATTAAAATTTTATTGGCTGATTTAAAAAAAAATAATCTAAAAATTGATAATATTTCATACATATATTAATATGTCGGTTATCGATGTATTTTAGTAAATGTTTGAAAATACCACCATCGACTTCTAAACATTTTTAGCTTCGTTTTCAAAATGCGACACTTGCTCTCCTGATTATTTCACATCTTTTAGTGACACCTGCAAAATTTATAATACATCAAATTTGTGCATACCGAAGCGAAGCTCTACTTTTACTTATTATCCTGATATTTAGAGAAACATCCTCAAATAGAAACACCCTATCTACTTGACAGGTTCCACCGAGAGGTCCTTGTAATTCAAATTGTAAAAATTGAGGGTGTGGATTTAACAGATTCCCCCAACACCGGGATGTCAGTATCATGCTACTGTGCAACGGCCCTCTAATTTGAAAAAATCTGTTTACTTTATATGGATTCCCTGCCACATGGAAATAATTGGTAATGAGCTTGCAGATATAGCAGCCAAACAAGCACTCATCATCCTAGGCCAAGGTACTGACATCCTAATCCCACTAGAAATGAGTTTTCCTATAAAAAAAATAAATATTGGATAGTTTTTTTTTTTTTGTTTTTCTTGTCCTCGCCTGTTAGACTATAGGCGTTGGATAGACTGTGGGCGGGGGATTAATGCCAGAGTTAAAAGCCCTTCTCCCCTCCCCCAGGCACCAGGACACGAACTTGTAATTATTTTTATCAATTAATCTTCTATCCAGTTGCCAGGCAACGGCAGTGTGCACACTCGTTAGCCCGCTCAGCCACCCCTCTCCCAAATATTGGATAGTTAGCAGTCTACGTGGAACAAGAGCCCACCAAGAAAATTAAAATTTATTAAAATATCAGTAAGGTGCTGGACCATATCAAACCATCCTGATCTGAGAGGTCGCCTTAAGAATAGATCATACAACATTAACTCATTCATGTCTTATCAGTAAATATCTACTATCAACATACCAACATTGCAATAGCCCTCTCAATATCAATCATATTTTCCAAGAATGCTCTTATTACACCTCAAGCTTAAATAGATTATCTCCGAGACTGGATATATCAGTGATATTAAACAATAATAAATCAAACATAAAAATATTAATAAATTTTCTTAAAACCCATAGGAACAAAATATAGAAATGCATATTTAATTTTTTTGTATTTTTCCCCTTTTAAGGAGTTTCAAAAAAAAAAAAAAAAAAACTAACAGCATTAAACACTACTTCATTTACCTAAATCTTTTGTTGAAAATTGCTTTGGATTTTTGTCGCTCCACTCATTGGAGTTGTGAGTGTTATTAATTCCCTCACAGGTAAATGTTGTTTCATTTTTTATTATTATTCATGATACAATATGAGGATTGTCATTTATACACTGTTCTTCTAAGCATTAGTGAGTTGTTAATTCGGATGTTATAGCACTAGGAAGTGTTCCACTCTCACACAGTTTGTTGAAAACTTTGATAATACCTTTTTATGCGAATATCTGTGATCAGGAACCCATTGCTGATATTCATCAGCAATAGCTATAGCACACCCATTGCAAAAGCAACATATTAGCATGTGCTGTATATGAATAATTTTGTAAGCCTTTAATAATAAAAACTAAAATAAGAATGAGATCAAGACTCCCATCCATCATGTTGGAATGATATATATGAAGTAGTGCCTCACATTCTTAAGTTAAGTTGACATAGATATTACATAAATAGCTCAGTTAAAAAAGGAAAAATAGAAAAAAAAATCTTGAAGTTCTAAATTTTGGTAGTTTTCATTGAAGTGCTCTGTAGAACATACAAAACCTTCCCCCTACCCCTCCCAAGACATTTTATTTCTTCCTTCTTCTTAAAAACAGTGCCAATAAAAGTAGAAGTTGAATATTCATAGATTAAATACCATTACACATCTTGTGGTCTGTACCATGATTCCACTTTTCTTTTGATTTGAAACTTTTCATTTTGAAAATTCATAATTCCGTTGAAATGTGCCCCCTCAAAAATCCTGTCAAAATGGGCCCCTCTCATTAATTTTGATGGCCCAACTTGCACCTTGAAACCTCCTTCTGGGCACCTCTGCCCACTATGGTGCACTGGTAGGAGGCAGAACAGTTTAAAGGTCCCTTTTTTCGCTTTGCCCAAATATATCAGAAACTATCGACTCAAAATTGCTCTAAGAAAGATCCAATATATAGGGAGATAAAAATCTCAAGTTGATTTTACTAAAGTGGGCATGTTTCACGTTTGATACTTATTGTGATATTTCAAAGTTAGTTTTATAGTTCAAGAAACTGTTATTTCTATTAGGCATATAGAATGATATTAAAGTATTTTTTACTGACGATTTGACATACAAAGTGCATCACATCTTGTTTGAGAGAGAATCTAAGTTTTCGAAATGAAGTTAACAAATATTGCGATATTTTATCAAAAAATAATTCTTTATAGATATCTTAAAAAAAAAGTTTTATGGGTTTTATAATCAAGATGCTAAGAGTTTATGAAAATGAACTATTTCATTTTCTATTATTCAGGTTTGACTTTTATTCTTTGATTTATTTGCCTTATCGTCAGTTTAAATTAATCAAATTAGTCTTTCATTGTAATTTATTGAACATTTCAGGGAATCTTCAACAATCTTAAATAATACTAATTAATATATTTTTTAGCTTCAGTCATTTTCGTTTTACTGAGTCTTTTAACGGGAATCTTATAACTTCATACATGTATTTAGTTAAGATGTTTCATTGGTCAATCTTATTTTACAATTTTTTATTGTTTATTGTAGTTTTTTACTTATCATAATGCAGTATGGAAGTTTCAAGATTTAAAATTTTATGTTTATATTTTAGTTTATAGTGACTGGTTCATGGCTGAAAAACATATTAATAAGAGAGATGAAGATTCCCCGAAACGTTCAATAAATTACAATCAAAGACTAATTTGAGTAATTTAAACTGACCATCTGGCAAATAAATCAGTGTGCAATATTTCACAATTTCATATTATTTTTAGTTTAGCAAATGAATAATAATAAGAAAGAGAACCTTAACTCTTTAGTTGCGCGGAGCCTGAATCAAGGTCAGGTCCTGCGTATGCGGGGTACTGAAGGTCTAGCCAATCCCATATGCGTGGGATTTATTCACTGAATTGCTCCCGTCTTTTTGCATTTTTCACATTAAAATATGTTTTTTTTTATAATTGAGTTATACATTTTTCTTTAATATGAGGTTAGCTCATATTTCAATAAACAGTTAATTTTTTTTTTAAATTTTAAACTTTCTTTTAATTTTATAATATATTAATTTTCTTATATTACTTTAATTTTAAATTTTCTTCCAATTTTATAATTTATTAATTGTCTTACATTACTTTTATATTATACTGTATTATTTACATTATTTTTTAATATATTCTAATTTTTTTTTTTTTGTGCATATTGAGCCATTATTTTTGTATTATTCATTTGAAATTTGTTATTTTTTTTATTAACCAATTTATGATAAAGAAACGTTTCATTGTATAATAAATTTTATTACATATACTAAAATAACAAAAACAAATTCTACTTTCGAAATAAAAAAATTATAATTTTTTTTAAAAAATTTAAAACTCATTTGTAACTGTTTTATTTCAAAACACTACCAACTGCTGGTAGTTTTAGAGCTAAACTGTGTTCAAAAGACTAGAAAAGGGGTAAAAACAGATTTAGGAAGGGTTGAGGTCAGCCCCTCGTCCTAAAGGATATCCGGAACTAAATAATAATTCATCCCACGCTGTCTAGTGGTTCCAGGAACAACTTGGGGAAGCAAACTCATGGGGTACCCGGTTGAGAGCTGGAGTATTGTTTTTTTTCAACTAAAAGATAAAAAGCTGAAGCCAATACATTGGCTCTGCGCACCAGAGGCATGGTCTTTCCGGAGCCACAATATTGGCACTGCGCCCTGGTGTCAAGACCGGTCCGAGCCATTATATTGACTCTGCGCATCTAAAGGGTCAAATCTCATCATTTTAAAGAAAAAGTAGTATGAGTAAAAAACAAGTTTATTTAAGGAGTAAAATACACGTTAAATAATAAATATAAAATTTATATCAGCTTGCAATAGGAAATGATATACAGGTGGAGATTTGTAATGTAAATAACCTAATAAAGTTAAATGTTAATAATTTGTTTTGGCGGGAATAGCGAATAGCCTTCCACTTTAGTCGGGGAACTAGGTTATTTACACTCCTGAATATTAAAACAAAACCCCGGCACTGGATATAGACTTTTTGAGGGTGTTTCACTGTTGTTGGGAATTCGGGAATCTAATACCTTTTGTGACACTGTGTGACAAGAAACAATAAGAATATATAGATGAAATGTGGAACTTAGTAAAAATACTTTGAATGAATTGACTCTGCATGATCGAGTACAATTAACAGTGCAACCTCACATTCCTATATATTCCTTCTCATTTCCTCACACAATATCACATGAAGGAGTAAATACTGGGGGCTATCTGCTACAGTAATCTTGCCATTTTTGAAATAAGGAGAAATAAATTCATGTTAGAATTTAATAATATATTGGTCATTTCAAAATGTCGGTCACCTTGAGTCATCAAATTATGTATTGACAATGTAAGTACAAAAAAGTTAAATTTAGCAATATTTGTTTGAACATTTTTAAGATAAGAACCGAAGAGAGAGGATGGAAAGAAAGAGTAGTCTAATCTTGTACAATCATTTATCCTCTGATCGTAAGCAATTAAA